CAATGTTTTATTTATTTATGTATTTATTATTAGTATTATTATTATTATCAATAATAATATTTATTATTATTATTATTATTATTATTATTTTACATTGGCCTATGTTGGTTTTAGCACTGTTTCTGGATACCATAGTAAGTTTGGTCTTATGTCTGAAAACCTATTTGTTTCATAAAGATGATTTGCTTTTCTTTCTCTCATTCAGAGTCTGCTGACCTGTTGATTGGCGGTTGTCACATGTGAAAGTGCTTGAAGAAGGAGCAACGGGTGCTTTTGTAGAGTTTCTTTAGCAGGAAAGCACTCAGCCACACTAACAGAGCTCTCAATAGGACAGTCTGTCTTGTATCTTTTTATCCTCCGTCTAGTCCCTCTATGTTACCAACAAAAAGTGCATTCCTTAAAAAACTCCCCCTTTGCTCTCTGAATTGATGTGCTCAACCCCTTAACACTTACCGCTTAAATCTGTCCTGAGAGCAAGTTTGAGGTTTATCCCCTTGACTGTCAGTTTCGTTCATTTAAACACATCAATGACTAAAAAGGACTGTATAATGTGTCATTTGTGTGGAAACAATCCCAATACGTGCTACATAGTGTTGTTGAATGCAGTCTGACACCTGAACTCTTGTCAAGGAGGCTTAAGGCTGTCTCAGTCCCATTAACAAGCACTGTATTGAGACTGAGTAAAGAGAGCGTTCCTGAAGTCCTTTCCTCTCTTCCATTAGTGCCAGTCATGCGTGAAATCACTCCAAACACATTCCTTATTGTTTGACCCCGACATGTTTGTTTTCAGTCTGATCTGATTGTTCAAAGCCATTTTAGACCTGTTCTTCCTCTTCAAGTAATCAACAGGTGGCTTTGATATTAATAAACTGAGTAATTTCATAAATTCACACTTTTTAACCAAATTCACATTTGAGTCAGTCTTTTGTTTTTTTGTTTTGTTTTTTTAGTCTAAAAAGGAAAGCAGTGTCCTGTTATTCTTCAATGACAAATTGGTCTAAGTTTTAATAGACTAAATTGTTCATGCTATCATTATCAATGTCGAATTCTAATATGCCAACCCATACTCTTCAATTTACATTTTGTTTATGGAAAATGTACATGGTTTTCTTTATAATAAGTTGTTTATCACTAGAGGGCGCCATCATACAGCTGCTCACAACTCAGTTTTATTTCTTTTTTATCCGTCATATCAACATTTTTTGTGTGTTTTTTGGTTTGTTTGTTTGTTTAGCTATATATGCTTTCAGTAAATAGGCCTATAATTTAAGGTTCTAATAAGCCTATTTAAAAAATAACATTAAAATGTTTTCTCATGTTAAATTTGCACACTTGCACAAATATTATCAAATAACAAAGGTATTGCATTAAATAACAAAGATCAATCCAAATAGCATTTATTTAAAAAAAAAAAAAACGAATCAAAAGCTCACTTTTTCTTTTAAGTTAAAACATTCCCAAAAAATGATAGCTATTGATATGACAAAAAAAAAAAAAGACAAACAATAGGGAAGCCTAAGACTTTATTTAAACTAAAATAACATTGTTTAAAATAAGTGTTGTTGTTTTTTTAATATACTGTTTAAAATAAACTTGTGGTTACTAGAACATCTGAAAATCTAAAAATCACTGACACACCATGTTGGTTTAAGATTTCGCTTGATTTGATACTTGGTCCTATCCCTGCATTTTTAATTGTGACTTTAGCGCTGTGATACTTTTGGGGCCCTTGTAATGCCTCTGCTCTAAATCGCCATACATATGAAAGTCTGTGCAAGAGAACAAGAAGAGAGCAAGCATCAGCTCTGAAGAAGTCCTCTTAGTTTCACTTTGATCAATCATTCACATACGAGAGAAAAACTCATGCAAAAACAAATTAGTCAGGAGCACGTGGGAAAGTCCAGCTTAAGGCCCCCCAAAACAGTTCAAGATTACTGTAAACCTCAGAGATAAAAAAAGATGTACAAACATGGTCCTCTAGCAAAATAAAGACACAAGTGAGGCAGACAGTGATGGAACTGATTTTCAAAAATGCCAATGATGTGAACTTCAAAGGAATACATCTGTCAAACTTCACAAAGAGCCAAAAAACACTATACAAATGTCACTGACTGACTACTACTGTCTTTAACACAAAATGCATTGTTTACATGAGGAAGTAGAAGTATAATATCACTACTGGTAGTAAAAGCAGATTTTAACATTGGATTGCTATATAAGAAACAAATCTGTTATATGATTCATATTAATGGTCATTAACTTAAAGCAGCACTAGGTAACTTTTTCTGTGTTCAAAATTTGCTAAATGTATATAATGAGCGAGTACATCATGAATTCATCTTCCAACCCGCGTTTTTGTCTTATTCCGAATCACTACGGTACACTTATAAGAAGTACTTATATTTGGACTATTGTAGCCTGGTCGGGTCGTCACCGCTGCGGAGTAACACATACCTGCGTGAATCGCCATAGACATAAACTTAGAGAAGTAGCTCCGGTTGGAATGGTCTTGCTGCAGTTCTGTTTATTAACCGCTAGAGCGCCAAAAGTTACATAGTGCTGCTTTAATGATAATGATCTCTGGAATCACAGAAAACAAAGACATATACAATACAAATATATAAGCTGCAACTGTATAATGAAGCAAACTTTTGTTTATACTCACAAAAAATTACTATGGCAGCATTATAATGGAATTCATATATAATATTTAAATTAGGACTTGAAGTGTCTGGGCTCAGTAATGCTGCAGACAGGACAGAAAAAATGAATATTTGACAAAAAAACAAAAAACAAACCTGGGTTCCAGCACTTTTGATGTTTGGACCCCAAACATGTTCAAACCTGTCACCCTCGCCTTTTAATGTTGTGCAATGGTCAAGATTGCTGATAAAAGATGTGTGCCGCCCTCCATGAACCACACAAGCACAAATAGCCTAATTACAAATGATAAGAATAGATATTTATATATACGACAGAAATCATCTGCGCAAAATATAAGCTTTTCCTATATATGTCGCCTCAAGTTCTTTAGAGCAGTGGTTCCCAACCCTGGTCCTTGAGGCACCCCAACACTGCACGTTTTGCATGTCTCCTTAATCAAACACACCTGATTCAGGTCATCATCTCATTAGTAGAGACTCCAAGACCTGAAACTGGAGTGTCAGAGAAAGGAGACATGCAAAATGTGCAGTGTTGGGGTGCCTCAAGGACCAGGGTTGGGAACCGCTGCTCTAGAGCACTAGAGAAATGGTCCACACAAACTGGGTCCAGATTTGCCAATTTCTGATTCAGGATTTACATTCATGCATTTGGCACATGGTTTTAACCAAAGTGACTTACATTGCATTCAAGGTATTCATTTGATCATTTCTTGCTTTCTCTGGAAATCAAACCCATGATATTTCATTGACCCTGACGAGCCACTGCTAAAGTCAGGAGAAGTCCGTAGGGGCTGGATAAAGTAAACCAGTGTCTTGCCAGTAAAGTTTTGCTGGATGACGATTGCAAAGAAAGGTAAAGGTGATTACAGTGAGTGACATACAGGAGTCATACATCAGGCACACATGAGTCACTGCCGAGGGGGGCCCAGAAACCATAGCGGTGCCCCTGACGCAAACAAACTGTGTATGTGTCCTCTTGCCACACTGTATTGTCCTGTTTAGTAATGAATTTATTTTTTCCTTCTGTTAACTTAAAAAACAACTTTTTCTTTAACTGTTTATCATTACATATTTGCTGAAATTGTTGGATGTGGCACAGCCCTACCTAGAATATTTTCCACCAGCCGCCACTGACTTTCTTCTTACATCATTTCTTAGAGTAGATTAATGCAGTTAAAGGTGCGGTTACCAGCATGCAGTCTCTCAGTGCTAACACTAATGTCACTGAATCCCTTCTCACAACCAGATCACTGAGTTACAACTCAATACACACAGAACGCAGAAGAAACGCCCAGCTCCATTACATTATAGATAGCCTTCTCCATAACAGGCTGTCTCTGACACCCGGTCTGAATTATTCAGACTCTCAGCTGGGTGGGTTGAAACTCCTGAATTCATTTCAAAGCACTTGCTAACAAAAGGCCCATTTACACCTGACTGAAGCCTTCATGCTCTTGGGACATCAGGAAAATTAATCAGTCAGTCAAATGGTTACACATGTCTTTCACTTATTTATTTATTTAATATATTATGCTGGTGGTTTTAATGTATAAAATTGGTTTTGTCTTTACTCACATTATAGTCTAAAGGAGTACAGTGCACAGTATGAACTATGAACAGTATGAGTAGAAATGTTTTCATCATTCTTACATTTTGTCTTTGATGGGCATAAAAAACTAAAAAATCATCCAAAAGTCAAAAATTGCTTTCAATGTTTAACCTTATAATATAATACATAATATAGCCTATATAGTATAATGTCCCCCCTCTGGTTCATGTTATGTTATTTACTTATTTATTTATTTATTTTACATTCTTCCTTGTATTATTTTTGAGATATTTTCACACCAGCTTTCTCTATTCTTGTTCTATTCTCTCTACTTGTTTCTTTATATATATATATATATAGGTAGGTAGATAGATAGATAGATAGATAGATAGATAGATAGATAGATAGATAGATAGACCTTGCTACATATAGGCTAACTAAGACTCGTCATATAGCGCTTTCATATCATTGCTCATTTGTTGGTTTTGATTGCTTCTATTGTCCTCACTTGTAAGTCGCTTTGGATAAAAGCGTCTGCTAAATGGCTAAATGTAAATATAAATGTGATATTTTGTCATCTATTGTTCTTGATATTGTATAGTTTTGTACTCGTAATAAAATATTTTGGCATTAATAATAATAAAAAAAGAAATCTTTTCATCTGACCAATAAAAACGCGACGCTTTCCTGTTATTCTGACCAATGAGAGCGCTCGTGCCGCTCGCTAGCGTCCAACCACGCGCGACGCGTTGCTTTAAATTACGTCACTTGAGCCGATTGCCCATTTGCCGACGGACCAATGGGACGGCCGTGTGTACTCGCTGTTTGGCTCCGTGGCCAATCAGAGAGCGCGTTTGGGTTTGTTGTCGGTGATGGTGACATGAGCTATTTGTTGTTACTGGAAGGCGAGCGAAGAGAGAGCGTGAAGGAAGACGGGCCTGGCAGCGACGCTCGCTTTCAACGAACACACACGCATCGTACGGAGCTTTCCGTTCACGGGAGTCGCGGAGGAGCGAACAGCGGCGATGTCGGTGAATATGGACGAGCTGAGACATCAAGTGATGATCAACCAGTTTGTTTTGACCGCGGGCTGCGCGGCGGATCAGGCGAAGCAGCTGCTGCAAGCGGCGCACTGGCAGTTCGAGGTAATTTAACTTAACCTGCGATTAATAGTCAATAGCACCATTATCCACCGCGACGGTTTATTCCAGCGTCTAGGCTATTTTGAGGTGGGCTGTGTATCAAATCCTGGTGGTCCGCTCGTTAGGGCTCGAGACAGCCGCGAGTGCTCGTCGTGTCGGCTGCATTCACTGCATTATATAAAGTCACGTCGCGTTTGTTTACTAGTAAATGGCGCTTCATGTTCACTATCTCGGGTTCAGATGGCCAATGTTTTCATGCTATTGTGAGGGCAGGCCTGCTGTTAGCCGGTTAACCAGTCTGACTCTTTAAGGAAACAATTAGGCAGAGCAGCTTTGTGTTTGAATCCACACTCACTGAGATTATCTGTTTTTGTGATGCAGAAAAAGACACTAAAACAAAGATGTGTTTTATAGTCACGTAAATCAAGTCAAAGCTGCTAGGGGAGACTTATTCAAGACATTTTGGCTTTGCACATTGCAAATTGATGGATATGTAGATGGATAAAAAGGTGCATGAATGTACAGATGATAAAGAGATGAACAGAAAGCTGGATGGATAGATAAAGAGTTAGATTGTTACATATATTTTAGTGCTGTCAAACGATTAATCGCATCCAAAATAAAAGTTTTTGTTTACATAATATATGCACGTGTGCTGTGTATATTTATTATGTGTATATTTATCACATGCATGAATATATTTAAGAAAAATATGTTGTTTTGTGTATATATTAAATATACTTACTATAAATTATATGAATATAAATTTATACATGTAAATGCATGTAATATTTTCAAAATATATACTGTATGTGTGTGTATTTATATATACATAATAAATATACACAGTAAATACATATGTGATCCTGGACCACAAGCCCAGTCATAAGGGTAAATATTTTGAATTAAGAAAGATCACAAAATTCAAGATATGGGGGCAGAAAATGTACATATTTATATCATTTCACATAGTTAAAATCACTCGAAGAGTGCCGTTTTTTTTCTTTAAAAATAAGCATGATTACAAATGTGATACTGATTTTATACAACAGTTCAATGAACAATAAGTTAATATTAAGAGACTTACGTTTTAGACACCATATTGCCTGTTTTTTGCTCTATTTCGCCAACCGAAAATAATTCCAAACAGCCACCACAGAACAGTTCTGCATCTCTGAGCAATGACGGTGTTTCGTTCCGAATGAATCAACCATTTAAATTATTCGGTTCAGTCACAATGACTCACTTGTTAACAGTGACTTGCTGCCACCTACTGGCGATTTTAACTTCACATTTTAAGTATCTTCATTTTTAAAATAATTTCAAACATCAGTATTCAATGTTTTATGTTTAAAATATCAAAACATTATGCATTTGTAACTGCAGGTGAAAGCACTCCATGTCCCTCTGAGCTGAATTAAATAGTGTGTAAATACATCTAAATGCAACTTCTGCAAAGATTAATTTTATTGATACTGGTTTCATTTGTTTGGGAACAGCCTAAATGTCTTATTATTCTAACTGACTGATTAAATGTAACAATTTGACTCAAAAGATGCACACTTTTAGAAAGGTAAAAATGCCTATAAAAGGTAAAATTCAATTTAAACTTATATGAAAAGATTCATTTCTTTTCACTGATGTGAACTGACCACACAGAATGAAGAATATCAAAAACTGCAGCTGTCCATGGTAGTGAGATATCAACACAATAACACACTCAGCAAAATATTGTCTAATTATCGTTATCGAAAATATCCCAAAAAATATAGAGATATTATTATTTTTCAATATCGCACACCCCTAGTTTACGGTAGGAAATTTACAAAATATCTTCATGGAACATGATCTTTACTTAATATCCTAATGATTTTTGGCATAAAAGAAAAATCAATCATTTTGACCCATACAATGTATTGTTGGCTACAAATGTTATTGTGCTACTTATGACTGGTTTTGTGCTCCAGGGTCACATATATTATGTAAACAATTTTTTTTATATTGGATGCAATTAATTGCGATTAATCATTTGACAGCACTAATATATTTTCATATATTCATACATTCATGCATTTGGCAGATGCTTTTATCTCCAGTGACTTGCATTAAATTCAGCGTATATATTTTATCAGCTCATACATATATTGGGAATCGAACCCATAACCTTGGTGTTGCCAGCACCATACTGATTGAACACATGAATAGATAAACAGATGGATGGATAGACATTTGATATGACTAGGCATAACTGTCATATTCATTTACTGAATATGCATACGCACAAAGTCACTCAAAGAGATGTTTATCAAAGATAAGTACAGCAGTCAAAATACTACCAAACAATCTTGGCGGAAGCACAAAAGTGGTACATAAAGAAAAATATTACATTTCAAATCAGTTTGTATTTGATGGTTTATTAATTAGTGTAAGCCAGTTTTATGGCAGCTCACATTTGAAGTGTCGTGTGGTTGTTTTGAATGTTTCCTGTAAGGAGGAAGTGTTTGCCACAAACGGACATGCCTCAGAAACGATCTCATCAGCACTGTTGCAACACACTCACACTCCGTTTTTTTATTTACATTCCCTGCTGAAAATGCAGCTAAATTAACCCAAGTACACTTTAATCATTCACATCGACTCACGTGTGTTTGTGTTTTGTTCTTACTGTGGTATGTGTTAGTAGGTAGGTTGTGTTGATTGTTTGAAATGGTCCAGTTGTTGAGTACAGTACACACACACACACACACACACACACTGGTTTGACTAGTTAATATGTGTATTGTTTAATAGCAAGCCAAAGAGTGAGTCGGTTCCCTTCAGCTCAACCCTAGTAAGTAGGGTAAAGTTTACTCACAACAGGCTATGTTTGGACTGCAATACTGCCTGTTTTTGAAGAGAATAGTATGTGAATCAGCTTTTATTGATAACGGTAAACATTTCAAACAGTAGTACGCTATGTTGTTGTCACATGACCATATTACGTACATATTTAATTTAGCTAGTGGCATCCAGTTATCTTGCGAATCTAAATTTGATTTAAAAATATTTTGTTGGGCAGACGAATCAAATAATGATTCAAGAAAAAAAAAGATGGCTGAGGTGACGTTCATTTATGTCACTGAGCCAGTTAAGTTGAGTGCACTGCATTGTGGGACTTCCATGCAGTGTGCTTTGTTGTATAGTACTTTGGATGATTGGAACAAAAAATAAAAAAAGTAAATTTTTGGCTCAAAATTCAGACTTTTTTTTTTTTTTTTTTGGACAATTGAGTTGTTGTTTTTTTACCTGAAATTTCGGACTTTTTTTACTCAGAATTGCGAGTTATAAATTCAGAATTATGAGATGAATAGTTAACCTTTTTTAATCCCATGGCAGAAACAAGCCTCCACAATGTACTGCATGTTTAAGTAAGTTTTTTTTTTTTTTTTTTTCTGGAAATCGCATAGCATATTCTCCGAGTATGTACTTCTTTTGAATGAGTCTTTGCGAAACTTAAAAAGTATTTTCTATATAGTATGAATGTGTGTAGTATGTATGTAATCGAAACGTACTACATTCGTCATGCCTAGGGATGCACGGCCGCTAGGGAGTTTTCGGCCGCTGATCATTTTCAGCCGAAAATGGCATTATTGGTTTTTGGCCGAAAGAAAAAAGGCTGAAAATACAAACCAAAAGTATATGTCGTCTTGCCCCTTGTCCTCAGCGCTAAAATTTAACTATGCTGCCTGCTTTCATTAAAAAAATCAGTGTGTGATTATTTTATTGGTTTGTGGTTTTTCATTTCAGATTTGTTCAAATTCATGAAATTAAAAAGCCTGATATTAATACAATCAATTATACAAAAAGTCTTTTAAAAAGTCATTTTCAGTTTCGTTTTTTTTTTTTTGGCCAAGTGCATCCTGATGTTTCGATTTTGGCCCAGAATTTTAATTTCGGTGCATCCGTAATCACGTCATTGTCAGTTGCAGCGTTTCACGGCAATTTTGTATTTTTTGGACTACAATGAAATTGGACATACTGCTCTTTGCACATACTATTGCCTACTATATAGTAAGGAATATTCAGATGCAGCCTAAATATTTGTCTCCTGTGCATATGGTATATAGTGCACTAGTTTGCACAAGTGCATACTGGTGTTGTCATAACTGTTGCCTCATACACGTCACTGTGGTTAGTGTTCGTAACTTTTGCTGTTTTTTTTTTTTTTCAATTGTGAAAGAAAGGAAGTCAGCCACACCTTCACTAACAGATATGCTTGTGTTTACATTCCCAGCACTGACGTTCTCAGTTAAGCTGTGTTTATCCTGAAGTATCTGCAGCGTCCAGATGGTTTCTCCGATGTATCTCCTTCTAAGCGATCTGTTGTGGCTGCTGTAGTCTGAACAGGTGGTCTAACAGTCTCTCTCTCTCTTTGGAGTTGGTAGTAGTGTGATTGATTGTACCAAGTGCATGTCTAGGACAAGTGTCCCCCTTTGGATCTCTTATATGATTATATCTTCAGTGACAGTTGAAGGAGTCAGAGAGGTCTGCTCTTAAACTTCTGATCTCGTTCTGTGATAACATCAGGACTGAGAGCAGCCAGGGATGCATGCTAAAGCTTACATGCTGTGAAAATATCCACACGTTGACCAGCCGTCGGCTGTGCTTTAGTCTCATGAAGCTAGACATTTGATAGTCTCATCTAGATTTTTCTTATTTTGGTAGCTTATATATATATATATGACTTCATTTCCATGGCCTTCGGTGAGCATCTTGCATTCGTTGTGTCTTGTGCATCTTTGACAGACTCAAGTGGCGTGCTGTTGTGGTAGTAAAACCAAAGGGACAAAAAAATGAATAAAACAGTGAAGCCGTTACCTAGTTACAGTGGTAAACATCTGTCGCTAGTACTCGCAGTGTTACTCACCATACAAACCTATCGCAAGTCAGAACCAAATGCTATAGTGTGGAAAGCCATCAAACCAAGCGTGAAAAAGACACCGGTCTCCACATTACAGTGCTGCTGCGTGGAGCAAAGTGAGTGTGATTCGCTCTAGCAGCTTCTGTGTGGATTCTCCATTTGTCTTTGTTCCTTTCTGCTCATCGCTGACCTGGTTTATTGCAAGCGTGCCGTGTGTTGGTGAGATGGCTCTCTTGTGGGCTTGTTCTGCACCCGCTTATTCCCACTGGAGCGGCAGAAATCATTTGCAGAGAGGCTGGACATGACACTCTGGCTGTGTGTCAAAAACTAGCGGGCTGCCTGCTAGAAACGGACAATAATCACAATTGTCAATTGTTTTTGTTGATATTGTAATCATGCTTGTAATTTACATGATAATACCTTTGTGGGCCAACTGAACGCTGTATTATTTATGTAGCCTACACATCAAAAACAAGCTGAAACGTATTTAAATGGGTGTATTGCAGTTTTATGCGTTATTAAATCAAGACTGCGACGTAACAACTTCACATTGGTCAATGCTAGCTTGATTAACAAAAGTGTTATTAAACAAGTCAAGAATTTGTATTTAGAAATTGACACATTTCCCAATTGCATGGATTACTATTAAAATGGCTTGAATTTCTCTTGTGGAAATTTTCCAAATAATGGTCAATTTGACTGCACCTTAAAGGGGTCATATGATGTTGCTAAAAAGGTCGTGTCCTCTTTTGGAAGGCCAAACAAAGTAATTTCGCTTTCACAACGAAACACACAGTGTCTTCACAACGTGGCGGCGGCAGCAGCAACAATAAAGTTATGTCTTCTTTCTTTGCGTGAACATTTGGGCGGTGTTATGCAAATCTTCCCACATCGTGACGTAGACATGTGGGGGCGTGTTTAAACGAGGCGTTTTAGGAGGGCGTGGACCAGTCATAACTTTTATAAAGAATATCTCTTTGGGTTTGAGACTTTAGTCTTTGCAACTTTAGGGAACTTATCTATTCATGAACTTGTAACACTCCAAAGAGAAAGGAAAACTTGAAATCGCATCATATGACCCCTTTAAAGCTGTAAGCACCCCACTTCTCGATTAGTTTGTGTTGTACCAACTCTAAATTTAATCTCAATTTTTGCTACCTAACCAGGCATCAGTTTTGGCCATCACGCGGAGACATTTGTCTCATGGAGCCAAACCTTTCTGCATAGTCCACATTGCATTATTCTGGTTCAGATCCACCCATGTAGACAGGAAGACACTGTTCAACTTCTGCAAAGAGATAATATGCACGTGCACAAGAACTTACTTCATATCAGAATTACTTTCAAGGATTCAATCTTCTGAACTTCCAGATCCAGCGACTAGAATTTCCGCTGGGAAGCACATGGTTACAACCTGGGAATTTTGTTTCAGACCAATGTAAACCTTTCAACACCTGATTCCTAGAAATCCTAGCCAATCAGAGTAGAGCTTTCAAATTTTCCGTGAGCTGCTGGTTAGGGGTCGACCGATACGGAGTATTACAGATCAAGTAGACCGTTATTTTGAACCTTGTGTAAAATGAAAATTAATGTCAAAATTAAAAATAACAAGGGCTCTGACAAAAAACTCTTTAAATGCTCTTACATTATTTTATCAGCAAAATGGTTTTGAAAATGACCTATACCGATAACCATAAAAATGCTTAATAACGACACCAATAATCTGCCATGCCGATAATCGGTCGACCCCTACTGTTGGCCAGTTATGTGTGCAATATGCATCAGGTAGTGAGCGACCGGTCCAATATTACCCTATCTTGGATGGGTAGCTCCCCAGGATCACAAGCTGGCCTGTGTGTATTATTTAGCCGTTCACCTCAGGATAGACTCATTGTAGTGCGGATGCCAGGTTGAGGAATCCTCCTTTAGCAGTCAGTGCCAGCGTTAACACAATACAGATGCTCTGAGGTACAAGCAAGCGTTGTTTAGAGCCATAACCGTGTGTGTGCAGTAGGAAATGAGCAATAGTCGAGCACTTGAATGGGAACAGTCTCCGTACACATGACAGTGTTTGGGGGAGGGACTGAGAAGATCTGATGACAAAGAACTCTGTGGTTCTGTAGCAGCGGAAACAATGGTGGATTGGCGAGTTCATCTTGATATGTGTGTCACGTCAAGCCGCAGACATTCCTGCACTCGCCGTGGCTGTTGTTAAACAAAACGAGAGAGCAGGAGAAAGACGGATAAAGACAGGAGAGGGGGAAGGGGCCGGATGGGGGAAGAGAGCTCACTGAGGGAAGTGTTACCAGATGAGGGGTTGAGCGAGAGAAGGCCAGACGCACAATATTTTGACTGTATGTTGAGTTCAGAGAAGCACTGAGCATGTGAATCATCGTCAAATCATATTCTGAAACGGTTTTAAAATGATAGTCTACTCTTAAAGGGGTCATATGATGTGATTTCAAGTTTTCCTTTCTCTTTGGAGTGTTACAAGCTGATTGTGCATAGATAAGATCCCTGAAGTTGCAAAGACTAAAGTCTCAAAACCAAAGAGATATACTCTATCAAAGTTAAGACTCTGCCACGCCCCCCTAAAACGGCTCGTTCTTACACGCCCCCACATATCTACCTCACTATGTGGAAATATTAGCATAATGCCGCCCAAATGTGCATGCAAAGAAAGAAGGCAAAGAAAGAAGGCGTGAAGGAGCAGAGAGTTGTTCTGCTCATTCATGTTGTAACACAGATCCCTCCAGCTCATCCCCATCTCTTTCTCTCTCTCTCTTTTGCAGACGGCTCTGAGCTCCTTTTTCCAGGAGGCCAACATCCCCAGTCATCACCAGATGGTAAGTGCGTTTAGTTCGGAGAGAGCATCAGCATCCTGTCATTGTCATCAGGCAGCATAGCATCTGAGAGAATAATGAGGGGCTGGACTTCCTGAAGGCCACGGATATTATTAAAGAGCCTGAAATACACTTATCATGCTAGTCAGAGCTTCTTCGAAACAGTCCGAATTGTTTTTCACGCCCAGTTTCCAGCATCTCTCTGACTCCCAGATGAAATTTGACGTCATATCCAGGGCAATTTCTGGATGACTTGTTTTCGCTACACTGTTTCAGTAAATGGTCTTAGTCGACTTGGAAGGAAGTTTTGAATTGTTTGTATTTGCACTGGATCTTTCTTTCTTTCTTTTATGAATAAATACTATTAAAGCAGATGCAATAGGGAGAATATTATACTGCCTTTTGAGTTATTTTAGCCAAATTCTAAGCATTGCATATATACTTTCAGGTTTAGGCAATCCCAGAATGCATTGCAAACAGTGTTGTTGTTAACTGAAACCATTAAAAACTTCTACAGAAATGAGGAACGTTGCCTTGGCAACTGGCAAGTAACTGATGCATGTTACTAAAGTTACTAACTGAAATAAAAGTAAAACTGTTCAGAACTATTTATTTTGAATACGTAAAAACACATACATTTCTAAATAAATATTTCTTTATTTATAAATGACAAAACGCAACAAAATTATTACAAATTCTACCTAAAAGGAACTTTCGATTTTAAATTAGACCTGGAAATATAAAAATAAAGTACCTCCAAATATTAATAAAAATTATAATAGTATGTAATTAAAATCACTGTAACACTGATTGCGACAAACATATTGCTGAAAAACAAGACCGAGAAACCTGATTATCATTGTAATTCGTTCAATACAAAAAATTTAAATGTTTATGTGCACTGTTTTATTAAAATATCACGGTATTAGCTTTAGCAACATGATAACATCAAAATACTGAAAAAGTCTCACATGTGTTTTTTTATACAGTAGCACTATTTGTGTGTCTTGTGAAGTTGCAGCCTATGTAGAGCGTTTTGAATCTGTCATTAAACCCTTTTTATTGTTCAAAGTAGGGGTCGACCGATATGTGTTTTTCAAGGCCGATGCCGATACCGATTATTGCAGATCAAGTAGACCGAAAATTAATGTCAAAATTAAGAATAACAAGGGCTCTGACAAAAACTGCCTTCCCTGGTGTTGTTTGAGTGTAGTACTCCCACAGTAAACTCTTTATTTTAAAGAGTTAAACTCTTTATTTTTTGGCAAACTCTTTATTTAATGGGTTTACCATTAAATTAAAACATGGAAGAAATAGCGTATTGTGTGATTATTCTTTTAAACAAAAGTTGTAATAATTGTTGTAGTAGTCAGGGGTTAAAGCAAAAAAAAAAATCTTTTGACTGAAAAATTTTCCTCGGCCAAACCCCATTCCACAGCCATACCTGTCACACACACAGTTTAAAAGCAT